AAGCAGTCTTTTTTATAGTCTGGAGAGGAGCCTAATGACCATCAGCTGAGCACAATTACCTCCTCTAATTGCATAATTGCTCCTGACGCTGAGTAGCTCTTCGATGGCGTGCATCCAGGAACAACTCACTGCTGGTTTCTGGATCACTCTTCCTTGTCTCCTCCCCACTGGTCCAAGGCTCAGGCGCCACCTGGTGGCCAACCAGTTTCTCTGCGCCCTGCTCAGAGTCAGAACCCTGTGCAGGGTCCTCGACATCCTCCAGAGCTGACTCATAGGGCCCCTTGCTGTCGGAGTCTGGTGGCAGTTCCAATGGCTCCTTCTGGGTCACAACAGAATTCTATACATGAAAGCTTTTGGGAGGGCAGTATAACTTAGAAGTATAGTAAGATTAGCAAGGTGGTATGAATATTGATGCAGCATTTGAGGAGAATGTGACAAATTATCTATGAGCATTAGTTATATTCCTACAAATGTTAAAACATGGATCTCTTCATTTTGTAAGAGTTGCCAGGTCCAGATTATGGCTAGAAGTATGTGTAAAATGCTTACTAAGTACAGTGAAGGGAAGGACTGCATCCAGCCATTCTTTTTATTCCCAACTTGAGCACAAATAACAATATATGGCTTAAGGATAAGTCTTGGAGAGCTGCATTTGGCCCTTGGACCAGGTGATGTTTCTGAGCCCTACTTTATCTGTTTCTTATAGAATGTGTAATATTCATATAACTGTCTTATCTATTAATTACTATAGTTTGAAGAAATTTGTTGTTTTTCTTTTACCACAGTATAAAGGAACTAACTGAATTGGAAATAAATGGTTCTTACTGAAGTATTGCTCTCAAACACAATTGCTGCCTGGAAGACTGCATTTATTTTATGAGTATCTCAGCAAAGATATCAATGAAAACAGCTTGTTTATTGGGAAGTAAATTGATCGTACACAAATGTTGATCTCTAAATAACTATTGCTTGGAGGATTGTAATTGTTTTATGGCTATTTCTGCAAAGATGACAATGAAAGCCAATTGCTAATTTATTTATTTTATAAGCAAAAAGGATTTTTTTCTGTTACATTTATGCTTTCCACAATTTTAACAACATAGTATAACCAAGAAATATGCTACAAAAATTGAAAGACACATAAAATATCCATAGAACTATATATGTATAAAAATAATTTTGTCAGTTACTGAATTTATATGATATAATATGAGAATAAAATATTAATTTCTTTAATTTACTATAATATATTATTCCATACCATACCACACATACCACACCACACCACACTACACCATACTACAGTTTGGTCTAGTGATTAAGGTACCAAGCTAGAAACCAGGAGATTCTAATCCCATCTAAGGCATGAAAACCATTGGGCAACCTTGACCAGTCATGTCCTGTCAGCATAACTCATCTCACAGAGTTGTTGTGGGGAAATAGGATGAGGGAGACAGATATGTTAATCACTACTGCAACGTGCTCTACATGGGGCAGCCCTTGAAGAGCATTCAGAGACTTCAGCTTGTCCAGAATGCAGCCGCGCGAGCAATCGTGGGTGCACCTCGGTTCACCCATGTAACACCTATCATCTGTGAGCTGCACTGGCTGCCTATTGGTCTTCGGATACGCTTCAAGNATATCTATCATCCATCCATCCATCCATCTCTGCCATCTATCTATCTATCTATCTATCTATCTATCTATCTATCTATCTATCTATCTATCATCTATCTATCTATCTATCTATCTATCTTTGCCCACTATCTATATATCTATCAGTCATCTATCCATCCATCCATCCATCTCTGCCATCTATCTATCTATCCACCCATCCATCCATCCATCTCGGTCCACTATGTGTATATATGTCATCTGTCATCTATATCATGTCATCCATTTTTGTCATCTCTGTGTTTCTGTATGGAGGTTAGGCTTCTTGTTTGAGACAGATAAAAGTTCTGACTTTCGAATTTGATGATCGAATCAGTTATCGTAGAAACATTGCGTATTTTCATTCTTGCTATTCTACGTGTGTACTGTATTTTGTTTTATGTTTGTTTAAACAGAAAGAGGTTATTTTGTTGAAGAATTTTTGGGATTGATTAGAAAATATTCAAATATATATTTTTGGTTTGGGTTTGAAGAGGCCGCTTGATTCTGTATTTGTCTAAACTTAAGTCAGAAGTCCATTTGAAAAAAATCTCCCCTCCCCCCGTCACTTAACCTTTCTCCATTTTTGAGTTCCCCCTCCCAATTTTTTTATTTTTCTATTACTTTGTGTTTGTTCTCTCTCTTTGTAACTTATAATAGTTGACTGTAAACATAGATAGAAATCACCTTGCAAAAAGGGCTTGTTTTTTTCTAAAAAACAATTTATTTCATTGTCAAAAGTCACAATGATAAATATGTTTGATCGCGACATTCGGTATCTCATTCAAAGAGGGAGTAATGCTTGCAAAAGACTAAAAGCTGAATGTGCATTTGATTGGACAGGAAAACGAACAGCTGTAAATTGATAGCAACGACTGTTTTTTTGCTATTGGGAGTAAGGAGGGAGTAACACGCTACCTCCTGGCATGCTGTCTTTATAGTGGTTTTAAAACACATTCCCTACAGCCATGTTTCTCAACCGTGGCAACTTTAAGATGTGTGGGCTTCAACTCCCAGAATTCCCCAGAGTTAGGCTGGGGAATTCTGGGAGTTGAAGTCCACACATCTTAAAAGTTGCCAGAGTTGAGAAACACAGCTCTAGATGGCCAACTGATGCTCCAAATCACTGTTGCTGGCTATGCAATCCTCAAAAGCTAGAATTGGCCAAGCTGGGACAAAACTTTGGGTTGTGTTGGCCAACGCTTTGAGTGAAAGAAGATGGAACCATGGCATTAGATATTTTAAGGGACAATAAATAAACCCGTGGCATTCTCGCTGGATATTTCAAGGGACAACCGTCCCATTTTACAGGACTCGTTTTTAAAAGGCAAAGTTTTTTTTCCCCCAAAAAGGGATGCCTTTATGGCTCGCGCCTCATTTTGTATATTAAAAACGGGTTTCTCCTCTGTTCCACCTCAATCCGCAGCCTTCTCGTGCCAGCCTTAAGCCCTTTTAGGTACCAGCACAAGATGGGTGCAGAGGTTTCACTTTGGCACGTCTGGAGAGGCCAAGGCGGAGACCATGAACTGGTGATCTAACCGGAGCTCTTCCCAATGGGCTGGTTTTGCTTCCAGATGCACCTGAAACAAATGCAAAAAAAACAAACACACCAAAGGTACCATATTTTTCAGAGTATAAGACGCACCCTTTTCCCCTCAAAAAGGAGGCTGAAAATCTGGGTGCATCTTATACACTGAATACAGCATTTTTTGCCTCCTGAAACCCCGCCCCCTTTGCAAAACTGGCTGTGCAGAGCTTTTAAAAGGCCTTGCAGAGTGCTCCTGGGGGGCTGGAGAGGGCAGAAATGAGCAAAAAATGGGCTGATTTTTGCTCAATTTTGCCACCCCCACCCCAGCAGCACTCTATAAGCCTCCTAAAGGCTGTTCATGCCCTTTTTCTGTCTTTCTTTTTTTTTTTTNAGTGAGAACAATGAATCAGTGGAACAGAAGTTGCCTCCAGAAGTTGAACCCCATCAAGTCCTTCCCAAGGACCCAAATAGGCAGGTGTGGCTCTTGCATGGTCTTAAGGGTACCATCTCAAGATGTTAAGCTGTTCTGAGCAAAGCTGCCTTTTGCAATTGATTGCTGGCGAGTTTTTGTCAATGCCGCAGGGCATTCAAGTGATGCTCTCCAGATGTTTTGGGAGCTGCCTGTTCACAATTGTTGGTAACTTTTTGTCAAATTTGTTTGCCATCCACCTCGCGATTCCGAGAGGCCTACAAGCACAGGCTGAATTTGATTTTTTTTTCCACTTTGTCTCAGGAGATCGATCCCGGGACATTGCCCCAGGCCGGATTAGAGCCTCGGAAGAGGGAAAAACAAAGGCAAGGACGAACCTCACTCCAGAAATGTTGTGTTTGAGAATAAAAACTGGCAGGGTTTTCCTTGAAAAATGGCTGGAATTCCCTCAGCAAGGACTTTTACTTCAGAAGTCAGGGCATCCCTAAGAAGTTGTTTTATTCTGGAGTTTGTCTTGAAGCATGAACTCCCTCCCACTATTTTTTATTAGGTTACTAGTCCTCTTTGATACAGGAGGTTGAGGAGCACAAGCCTGGGAGGTGGACCGGGCAGAGAATGAGGGGGGAGCCAAAATGTTTAAAGTGCATCCATGGATGGGGTTGGGGGGGGGGGGCTCTGCTCCTGGTCCAGCATCTTCAACAGGTGAACATCACATACAGCACAGACCATACACTGTCTCTCAAGAGGCCTTACTACCTCTAACCTTTCCCTGCCCATGCAGACGATTTGCCAAAGATTTTTTTCTCTTTTAAGTATGTTCCAAACTGAAATTCAATTTGTAAACCTCCAATTACACTATAACAGAGCACTACCGCCATCTTGTGGTCTGTTGGGAACACTGTGTATTTTTTTGCAAATTGGGTTTTATAGTAGATATATTTATCTATCATTATTTATTACCTATCACTGTCGTTTATCTATCATCTATCAGTCATCCATCATCTCTGTGATTATCACCTATCTCTGTCATCTATCCATCCATCCCTCTCTGCCCATTATCTATCTATCCATCTTCACCATCTCTCTGCCCACTATCTATATCAGTCATCTATGCCATCTATCATCTATCTCTGTCCACTATCTATATATCTATCAGTCATCTATCTATCCATCCATCCATCTCTGCCATCTATTTATCCATCCATCTACCTTTTCCATCTATCTCTGCCCACTATATAGATCTGTCATCTGTCCATCCATCTCTGCCGACTATCTATCCATCCACCCTTGTCATCCATCCATCCATCCATCTATCTATCTATCTATCTATCTATCTATCTATCTATCTATCTATCTATCTATCTATCTCTGCCCACTATCTATATATCTATCATCCATCC